CCTTGCTCTGGAATGCCTCTCCCCCCTGCTGACAACCTTGAACTTCCATTCCAGAATCTTCCCTGCTCATGCCATCCATTTCATCAACAAAGATATAAAACAATAAAACGTGTCAAAAAAGCAATCATTATTGAAAAGTTTTAAAAGCATATGGCACACAAGAGATTAGATTAGCAAGGGAGCAACCTCACAATCTCACTGGTCCCCTGAGATGCCCAGGCCTGATGACATAGCCAGGTGTTGAGAAGCTTCTGGAAAGTAAGTAGGGATGGAGCTGACCTCATTTCAGCGGGGGGGGGGGGGTTCCATAAGGTGGGCACCACAGCAGAGAAGGCCCGCCTCCTCGGGCCCATCAAGTGTGATTCCCTAACAGATGGGACCCGCAGCATGCCTCTCCTGCTGGATCTGATGGGATGGGCAAATGTAATCAAATTCTTTTGCAGCAGGTCAGAAGAGGTTTACAACTGCCTTTTCTGGAATGTTTCTTCCACTCCCCAGCCATCCAATAACCCTTGCAATGTTCTACCCTAGGACTAATAAGATGCCAATAGTTGTGCTGGGTATCTACCCAAGAATTCATGTGGAGCTATATGCCCACTATTCTAGATTACTTTTATGTGAGGTAGACAGTGGGCATGGTTTATCAGGCTATCATGGAATATTCCACACACATATTGGATCAGTTATTAAAATAACTTCAAATCAATTAAATGAAAGCACCATCCTAGAAGCAAAAAAATACATCAAGATATGCACATTAGTTCTTATTATTGTAAACTGAAATGGGACCATATCAAGTGGCAAAACTGAAGACTACTATTTAGATTTTTATAACAATCTAAGCTTTGTTTGAGCTGAAAACAAAAGTCTGATACAACAGTGCCAATTCGTTATTAATGTATTACTGAGTAAATAGTGTAATAAAGTAAATAAAGTAATACTGAGAATGCTCACACACTTCTCATCTGCACTATCAACACTAATAAGTCTTCAGATCCAGAAATGGAAGCCAACATCTAATTCTTGTTCAATTTCAGATTTAACACTAAACTTGAAGGGTAGAGGAAAAGCACACAACCCTATTGCCAAGCCAATAGCACAACTTCTTTATGGTGCCCAGCTGGGTCTCTTCTTCAATTTTGCACCATTAGAACTTGTACAATCCAAATTTCTAAGATTGGCCCCTCAAGTCCCAAAATGTCTCTAATGCCACCCTGTGACTAGGGATAGGCGTCATGAAAGTGGAGGCTAGACTGTGGGTGACCATACTCAACTATTGGCTCAGACTATCCCTTTTTCTCCTTGGCCTTGCCCCATTAACTATGAGGGATGATTTTCAGCCCACGTGGAAACAGGCAATAGCAACTAAAATCTCATCCTCTGGCTTCTCTCCAGGCCTTCTACGCAGTATGGATATGACTCAGGCCAAAGCACTCATCAAACAGCGTGTAGCAGACACAGAGCGCCAACTGGATCTAGCCAGGTCCCCAACCTTTATTGCCAGTGAATCCAACAGGTACTCTGCCTCCCCATGGCATACTGAACTAAACTCGAAGTATCTTCACACCAGAGGACCTTCACTCTGGTACGATGCCATGCCAGCTGTACTCGAAGGCCGATACAGGAAGATCCCTTACCCGGAGAGCCAATATTCCTGTGGCTCTGGACACACAGACACAACAGAGCATGTGCTTCTCCAGGGCCTGTATTACAGAGATGTTCGTACTTGCCTCATCTCACCATTACTGCACAAATATCCAGGGCACACAGGACAATTCCCCCCCTCCCTGCTGCTTTCCGGTACCAGCCCTGCTGTAACATATAATGTTGCCAGGTTCTGTGCAGCAGCAATTAAAATTCGTCAGATGATGACC